TACTTACTGAAAAGTTTTTACAGTTGAAATTACTTGATGTCTAATATTTGCTTTAAAATATTTCAGACAGGGCAGCTCTGGTGGCGCAGTGGTTTAGCACCACCCTGGAGACCCTGGATTGAGTCCCATGTCAGGCTCTCTGTGTGGAGCCTGCTTCTCCCTCTGCCTGTGTCTCTGCCTCTCTCTCTCTCTCTGCATCTCTATGAATAAATAAATAAAGTCTTAAAAAATAAAATATTTCAGACAAAAGAAGTTATGTGGGGATATAGAGGAGGTAAGATTGAGGAACTGTTGGTAGCAGTTGAAGCTGATTTGGTTACATGAATTCATTATACTGTTCTCTGTATTTCTGTGTGTTTGAAATTTTCATTAATAATCAGTAAAAATAAAAAAAAATAAAGAGTAGAAATAAATAGCAAGGAGACAGGCAGAAAGGGAAGCAGTAAAATGTAGTAGCCAAAAGCTCTGGACTCAGATGCACCACTGAGACTCCTTTTTTGTCTCTTCATCCGTCAGTCCATAGCTTTCTAGTATGTTCCAGCAACTGGTAATGTTACTGGTTTATAACTTCCTGGTTCTGATCCTGGCTCTGCCACTCACTGGCTGGAGTACTTTGCCAAGTGACTTAACCTCTCTGAGCCACTTTGCTCAGCTCCAAAACAGGGAAAATCATGGTCCATGCCTCACGGAGTTATTTTGAGGACTGAACAAGAGAGCGTGGATGGGAAAGGTTTAGCACAAAGCCTGGCACGCAGTAAGCACTCAATAAATGCTTCAGTGTGAGGAGCACTGGTTTAGGAGTCAGGCTACCTTGGATGTGAACCCCAGCTCTGCTCTGCCACTTGTGGCTGTGTGACTTTGGCCAATCCAATTAACTCTCTGAATCTTGTTTCCTTCTGGGAAAACGGAGATCATTACCCAACCCCCCCCCCACCTTGCAGAGCTGTCAGGAGGATTAAATGACAAGACATGTTTTGATGCCCAGTGTGGCCCACGTGGGAATTCCCCTTCCTCACCCCTTGACTTTCAGCAGCACTAGGCTGGCCAAAGCCCAGGTTGGAGTGGATCCCACTGTCCATTTGCGTGGCTTTTGCACCTGGACTGCCAAGTGTGGCTGGAGAAAGTCAACAGAACCATGTGAATGGCTCCTCACAAATAGCAAGCCCGGGTTATGAAACACCATCAAGGCTCCCCTGCCCTCACACAGCCCGTCCGCCCCTCTCTAGGGGACTTCCTCCTGTGCTTGGCACTGGCCAGTTTGTCCACTTGTGCTCCCCTTCCCCCTGCTTAGCCTCCAATTTAGCTTCTACTCCATCTTGACCAAGGTTGCAATAGGAGCACCTTTCTCTCCACTTCCCAATGCCTGATTCTCACCTCCATCCTCTCCTCGTTCCTGTCCTCCCAACTCAAGACATAGAATGTCCTTCGCCTTTCTGAGGCTGGGTCATTGACTCTATCACTCCCTTCCCCAATCTTCCAGTACTTTCTTTCCCATATGTCAGACAAAAAACCCTTGCTCAAGTACTTTAATCTTTCTCAAGTCTGACAGTGACTCTGTTGCTCCCTTACTTAACTCACTCATTCACTAGTCCACTCATTTAAGAAATACTTGTGGAGTGCCTACTGGGGGTACCAGGTACTGGGGGTACAGAATGGACAGAGACAGTCTTTACCTTCAAAATCTTCAAGGTCCTGAGGAAGAATCAGACACACAAAAAGATAATGGTAAGACGACAGTGGGATGCAAAGATGAACCCATGCTTGATGTAGAGATTGACCAGATGTGCGATGGAGGGGAGCTCAAGGCCAGCTCTCAGCTTTCTGGTCTGTGCAAACGGGAATGATGGTAGTGTTCACTGAGACATGACACAAGGGCAATGCAGGCAGGGCTAGGTGTTGGGGAAGATGCTGTGTTCTGTTTGGGGGTACGATGAGTTAGAGGTTCTGTTGGGACATCCCAGTAGAGATCTCCAACAAATCTTCAGCTTAAGGGAGAAGGAGGTCTCAACTGGAATTAGAGCTGTGAGGGTCACTGGCATATAGGAGGTGGAGTCTTGAATGTATACAGAGTGCTCTCTGCTGCACGTAACAGAGTAATTGCACTATGATGACATTTGTTATCTCACATCTTAAATAGTCCAGAGGGGGGCAGTGCCAGGGCTGGGGAAATTGGCAGCACAGTGATGGCATCAATGTCACCCGTGCTTTCTGTAGTTCTTCCTTGCTGTTTTCAGGGACTGGATGTCTCTCTGAGACTTGTCCCCCCCTCTTGGCTGTGAGCTAGCTGCCCTACCCTCTCACAGCCCCATTCAAAGACAAAAACAAAGCTTTCCTTTCGCACTCACTTTATATCGGGGGAATCCTTTATCTTTAGCCCACGTCCATGAGCCCTTGGGTCTCTAGGCCATATCTATATCTCCTTAGGCAAGGGAGAATGGGATTACCATAAGAGGTTTAAGCCTTAGTCTGGTGTGGCCTTGGAGAGGTCCACGTTCCTGGACAACAGTGCTGTCTGATATCTGAACAAAACTGGTGTGAGCAAGGAGGAAAGGATGGCCTCTTTTCAACCTTCCCTCTCTTCCAACCCCTAGCTGGCCTGGCAGTGTTGACCTGCAATTTGATAGAGAGAGGAGTTTAGGGGGTGCCTGGGTGGTTCAGCGGGTTGAACTTCAGACTCTTGGTTTTGGCTCAGAGCATGATCTCAGGGTCAGGGGTCGAGCCCCACATCGAGTTGGGCTCTGTGCTCAGCAAGGAGTCAGTTTTTCTCTCTCTCCCCCTGCCGCTCCCCCTCCTCATGCAGCACTCGGGCTCTCTCTCTCTCTCTCTCTCTCTCTCTCTCTCTCTGTCTCACAAAATAAGTAATAAATCTTTAAAAGCACACACATTAAAACAAAGAAGACGCTTGGGCTCCTGAGTCAAGCATATCTGGATTCACGTCTTAGAGCCATTTCTTGCAAGCTATGTTACTTCATGGCAGTTATTTTATGCTCTGAACTGGAGTTTCCTCACCTGTGGCATGGGAATGGAACAGTCCTTAGGTTGTTGGCTGTTGGGATGATAAAATGAAATAACTCATATGAAGTGCTTCACAGTGCCTGGCACTTGGTAAGTGCTCAGCAAAAACCAGCCATTAACATTTTCGGGGGGACCGTTCTCCCCTTAAGGTTCCCCAGCCTCATGGGGCACCTGGCTGGCTCAGTCGGTGGAGCATGCGACTCTTGATTTCGGGATTGCGAGTTCAGGCCCTGTGTTGGGAGTAGAGATTACTTTAAAATCTTTAAAAAAAAAAAAAAATTCCCCAGCCTCTTGTCCTCTGGGCCTCCTCCTCTTTCTATGACTGGTTCTCACTCCCATTTCCTCCCCTCACCCCAAGGTTGGCTCCTCTGCCCTCACTACTCACTAGATCTCGTCTCAAGGCTCCAACCATCATCTCTTCTTCAGGCTGAGGTGACCCAACCTACTTTCCTACCGCCCTTCTTTTGTGAGACCCTGGACATTCCTGTACATTCTATGGTGTCTTAGGCTCATCCTTGAGGCCTGCGGTCACTGATCCCCATCTTGCCCCAACACCAATATTGGCTAACCCCTACATCTTTTTGCATGAGATTCTACCTTAAAAATAGCCATCAGAACTACTCTAGTGACTTCTACGTGCCAATACAGAAGGTGTCCAGAAGAACATAGAGAAAAATACAAATTTGTGCAAAGAGTAGAGGGGAACATCTAGATAACCTCTAGATGTCCAGGTAGGGCTTCATGGTACCAAAATGATAGCTATTTCGTTTGCCCCCTCGATAGGCTGTGAGCTTCTTGGGACAGGGAAAAGGATTACTCATTTATCTGTCACCCTGGTGCCTGAAGTATAGTTAGTACTCAGAGAAATGTCTGATGAATGAAAGATTCCTGGCTTTGCCACTGACTTTCTCCTCCTCCTCCTCCTCCTCCTCCTCCTCCTTCTTCTTCTTCTTCTAAATATTTTATTTATTTATTCATGACAGACGGGGCAGTGGGGGGAGAGGCAGAGGGAGAAGCAGGCTCCATGCAGGGAGCCTGATGTGGGACTTGATTCCCAGGTCTCCAGGATCACACTCTGGGCTGAAGGCGGCGCTAAACTGCTGGGCCACCAGGGCTGCCCTCTTCTTTTTTTTAAAAGCATGGTCCTGCTTTTTTCTTTTTTTTTTTTTTTAAGATCTTATTTATTTATTAGAGAGAGAGATAGCATGAATGGGGTGAGGGCAGAGGGAGAAGCAGACTCCCTGCCAAGCAGGGAGCCTGACACAGGGCTCAATTCCAGGACCCAGAGATCACGACTCAAGCCCAAGGCAGACACCCAACCGACTGAGCCACCCAGGAGTCCCTGCCACTGACTTTCTAAGTGACTTTGAATAAAATCCTTTCCTTCTCTGGACCTCAGTGTCAAAATCTATAAAACTGTGGACTATGTCTCAAGGGAGCCCTTTCAACATTAAAGTGAACTTAGTGGCCCTTGTAGTTGTGGGAGGGACAAGCTGGCTGGGGTAGGGTTTCAAAGTTTCCAACAATATGCTGTGCTCAGAGATGGGCTCAGAGAGAGGGTGCTGCCCTGACCCCTTTTCTTGGGAACCACTCAGTACTCTAGAGGAAGGGATTTAGGACAGTGAGGGATCACTGGCTATGAACTCTGCAAATCCCAGTGGCCCACTCCTTGGGTCCACTTCCTGGCTTACCAGCCTGGTATAGGAGACTAGGTTCTGGAGGAAACTCTGGTACCCTCTCCTCCCCCCACACTGCCCACGAACAGGCTGTTCTTGTTTACGACCCTCCTCCCAGGAGAACAGCGATTGCTCATCCCTACATGTGATTTGAGAGGGCCGGTCTTTCAGGCCTGGAGGAAACTCAAGCCCCAGCCAGCCACTTGGCATCGGAATGTTCAGCTGGTCCCCTTCTGGGGCTCATGTGACCGGGACCCAGCTATAAATATCAGAGGGGCCTCAGACCAAGACAGAATTCGGGCACCAGGAGAACAAGGCAAGGAGTCTCTGTGTGGGTATTTTGTAACCAAGGCAAGACCCCAGGTCTACGTAAAGTGAGGCAGGCAAAGGAGGTGAACCTCCACACGTCCTGACAATATGGATTATAAATCAAGCCTAATCCAGGATGGGAACCCCATGGAGAACCTGGAGAAGCAGCTCATCTGTCCTATCTGCCTGGAGATGTTTACCAAGCCGGTGGTCATCTTGCCTTGTCAGCACAACCTCTGCCGGAAGTGTGCCAATGACATTTTCCAGGTCAGTGCTAGGCATGGCCTTGTCCTGGGCTCCAGGTGGCTGCTCAGTATTCCTGTGGTGAAAGCCATTGTCTCTTAGTCCAGGACTTCTAAACCAGGTGAAAGCCATTGTGTCTTAGTCCAGGACTTCTTCTAAACTGCTGGCTTTCTCCCGAGCAGAGCAAAGCCCCTGCAGAGGCCTCTGGGCTGAAGGGGGCTCGGAGGTGACCCTGGCCGCCCCATTCCTTCTCCATGACGTGTGCTTCCCGTCTCCACCCTGCCCGCAGCTCCCCCACTGCTGCCCGGAGCCCACAGTTGACTCTCCAAACAGGAGTCAAATGCCTCAAGCGATAAGTGGGAAAGGTGGGTGGAGAGGAGAGAGAAACCAGACCCCTGGGGCTGGAGCCAGCTCCCTGGTGGCAGCGGGCCCAGAGCTTTAGGAGGAGGAGGGTGGCCAGGAGGCACTGGGCAGTAGAGGCATCTTCCCCTTCGAGGCCGAGACCGGTTCCCTATAATGTGGGGCTGGAGGGGATCCATCTCCTCAACAAAGGAATAGGAGAAGTGCCCTGGCTGGGAGGCAGGACTCAAGGTTCCAGAAGCACTTTGTACTAATGTTCTCTCACAATTTTATCTTTGAATTAGCAGCCCTACGAGCAGGCTCTAACGATAATGTCCATTGCGTGAATGAGTAAACAGAGGCTTGGAGGGAGAAAGTGGCTTGCCCAAGGTCATTCAGAGGATAACTGTGACTTGAACTTAGGTCTGCTGCCTCCCAAACTTGCTGACTGCTTAGTTGCTTTCTCAGGTGCTCCCCGTGTACGTGGGCTGGCTCTCATCTCAGGATGGGAAGTTCCACGTCAAATGGTTTGACGAGAATGGTTGGGGTGAGCAAGAAAGACAGAGACTGTCCCAGGCCTCATCTCTGCCCTTGCCACCCACAGGCCGCAAACCCCTTCTGGACCAACCGGGTTGGCTCTGTGTCCATGTCTGGAGGCCGTTTCCGCTGCCCCTCCTGCCGCCACGAGGTGATCATGGATCGTCACGGAGTGTACGGCCTGCAACGGAATCTGCTGGTGGAGAACATCATTGATATCTACAAGCAGGAGTGCTCCAGGTCAGTCCTCCCGGCTCCTGGGAGCCATCCTTCCTCCCCACCTGGTCTGTGCCCAGCTCACCCAGGCTCCTCCCCATGTGCCCAGGATCAGTGCCCTGGCTGGAGAGCTACACTAGTCAGTCCAGAGAGCCATCTCCCTCTTCTTCAGGCACAGCAGAGGCTTATCTCTATCCCGCGACACTGGCTCTTGGGGTCGGTCCCTCAGTGAATGAGAAGAGCCCAGACATTAGGCTGCTCTCCTAGGACAGGCTGAGACAGGAACCAGGGGAGGGACAAACTATGACATGGAGAGGGAGACACTGGGGCCAGCAAAGTGGCTGGGCAAGCAGAGAAAAGTGCCCAGAGAGAACACAGCTGGTCTCTCTATAGTGGAGGCAATGGCTGTCATCGTGGGTACCGGGGATGCTTCCTCCCGCTGCCCCACAACAATCATGGGAATTGGGCATGACTTTCATCCTCCCCATTTCTTGGATGAGGAAGCTGAGGCTCGAAGAGGTGAAGTCAATTGCCCAAGTGTTCCCAGCTGGGAAGAGAAATAGCCGAGGACAGCCCTGCCGATCTGGCCCCAAGTCTCCCTGTTTGTAAAACAGCAGCTCTGTCTTGGGCAGAATTTGTGAGAGTGGAGTTTGTGCAGTGTGTGTGTCCAGCTGGAGAGAGATATGGCCACCAGGGAGCTCTTTACAAATTTGACACCTGACAAGACTCCCAGGCCACTGCCCACAGGCCCTTGGGTCCCAAACCATCATCCAGTGTTGCCCGCCTGGCAGTGTCCTGCACCAGGATAAGTGACAGACCAATCTTAGTGTGAAAAAGCCCTGACCAGGGGAACCGTAGGCTAGTCTGACTCTGTTACTAATGTTCTGTGGGAATTTGGATGAATCTTTGGGCCTTCATTTTATCCATCTGCAGAGGAGGATGGTAAGGTTTGTTAGTGTGACTATCAAATAGGGTTTTGATGGGAAATGTTAAAAGTATCAGATATGTATGGACACCTCCTGTGTCTAGGCACCTCGTCTTAAGCATTTTCCATGTGTGACCTTTATTTAATTCTCACAGTAATCCATACGACTTTCTTACCCTCATTTTCCAATGAGGAAATGGAGGCTCCTAGAAGGTCAGAGGTGTGTCCGAGGCTGCTCAGCAAGCCGTGATGCTGAGAGGGAGCCTAACTGACTCTATGGTGAATATTCCTAACAGCTATTGCCTCTATGTTCCTGGAATAAAACTCCATAAAAGTGCAGATATATTGCTGACCATTCTCCAATAAGAAAATTAATATTGCACCCAAATATTAGCCCCTCACCTCGAGTATCGACCTCTGAAGAGCAGGTTTATGCTTGAACCCTTTGGGGGCCTTTCTACACAGTCAAATGCCGTGAGAGATGCCCTTTATTGAGGGTCTGCTCTGTGCTAGGCTCTATACATTCATTGCTGATAGTTGCCCTGATCCCAGTAGCTCTGGGGTAAAACCAAGGCTCCGAGAGGTGAAATCACTTGCCCAAGGTCACAAAATGAGTGAGCAGCAGAACAGTCTGGATTTAAACCCAGATGCTGATGCCTGGGCTTCAGGAGAATGGGCATCTGGCATGGCAGTGGGCACAGGCACCAGACCCTCAGGATCTTAGCTCATCTCTGCAGCTACTGCCATTCCAGAGCTCCCTCCCGGGGGGTAGAGACAGGTGGCAAAGGAAGACTCCTGCCAGCATGGGGAGGGGGGGCCCTGCGACAAAAGATGAAAAAAAGAAGTCTGAAAAGGGACTTATTTAAAAACCTGGGGAGATAATAATGTCTGGGGTGTGGCCAGTTGTGCAAGGCTATTCAGAGGTGAGGCATTGACATGGACGAGGGACAGTCACCATTTGACATTTGTGAGATGCTTGCTGTTTTAGGGACTGGGAAAGCAGAGGTGATGTAGACATGGTGTTGGCTCTTAATGATATGTCTAGATGAGAGGGTAGGACTTAGACACAAAAAACTGAGCCTCAGATAGGAAGCAACTGATGCCCTGCGAGAAGCATAGATAACATGCCAGAGGCCCCTAAGTAGAGAACCAGACCGAGGGAGAAAAGCATTCTAAGAATGTGTGTTTGGGAAGGAAAAAACTCTGAATGCTGGAAAGACTTTCTGGACTTTAAGTCAAGGCTTGAGCTGAACTGTTACTCATCCTTCGGCTGCCTGTGTTCTGGTTGTGTGACTTGGGGCATACACATTTCTTCCCTCTCTGTGCCTGGGGGCACCCTCATGGCATGCTTACTGGTATAGTCTCCCCACCTGTATTGAATAACCACCTCCTCCATGACACACACTGTACACTGCAAATTCAGAGGTGCCGGGAGCAGGCAAGTTTCCCTGCTTTGATGAGGTTACAGTCTGATGGATTAAATATAGAATTAAGTGAGGCCATGAGTATAAATTGCTTTGCTCAAAGTCAGCCTGCAGTAACCAGGAGTTACAGGGACTATAATTAGAGCAAATGCACTCTTGCCTCCCCTCCCTGACTTGATGGGTGACCTTGGACAAGTCAGTTCACCTTTCTGGGGTTCAGTTTCTTCTTCTCAAAAATATCTCCAGTTCTGGGATTCTACAACCTTTCCCATGTTCTGCACTAGTGGGGCCTAAGGCCAACTCCATCACTGGAGTTTGAGTCCAAGGATATGAGGATAGCCTTGGTGTCACTGGCTTTCCTGGTTCTGGGTATCCAGAAAATGAAAAGGACTGTGTACAGCCAGTCACTGAGAGCTCAGACCATAGATCTGGGGTTGCCACCCAGAGTTGGGGTGGGGGGAGACAGGGACTTGGGACCCCCCCCACACACTGTGTGACTTGTGATTCTTCTGCAGTCGGCCCCTGCAGAAGGGCAGCCACCCCATGTGCAAGGAGCATGAAGACGAGAAAATCAACATCTATTGCCTCACGTGTGAGATGCCCACATGCTCCATGTGCAAGGTGTTTGGGGCTCACAAGGCCTGTGAGGTGGCCCCCCTGCAGAGTGCCTTCCAGGGACAAAAGGTACTGGCTTATACCACTTCTACCCCCAGCCTGGGCATGTGGGGCATGGCCAGATGATTCAGGATGTAGATTTGATCCCTGTAGATCTGCTGAGCCGGGCTTTCAGGAATAGTCCCTCTGGAGGGACTTCCCAGGCCACAGGGACAGCAGCCCTTGCCTTCCTGGGGGTGGTGGCTGAGCTCATGGGTTATACTTAGAGCCACTTGAGAGCACCTGGGTGTGGCCACAGGCGAGAGACCAGACCCCTGGGCCAGGCCACCAGGGTCCTCTCAGGCCATGACTTCTACATCCCAGTGTGCTTGGGGCCCCAGATACCTCTTCCTGTGCTGGTTACCTCTCCTGCAGCAGAAAAAGTAGCTCAGAGCCCTCTCCCTGGCCCTGAGGCCTGTGGGAGTCCATAATCCTGCCCATGCAGTAAGCTATGGCCCCTCTTTCTGGACACTTCTTCCCTGCCTTCCACTCTTCTCTTGACCTCTCTCTTCTAGAACTCTCTGACTCTATTTCTTTTCTGTATCTCTTCATTCCTAAAAACAAACCCCTCCTCTGACAGTACATTGCTGTTTGTATTTTGGTCATTTCCCCTTTCTGGGCCTCATTTGTAAAATAAGGGATATAGTATCTCTAGAGATGTAGGCTTTTTCTAGCAGAGAGGGGAGTGAGGGTGCCATTCCTGAGAAGACAGGCCCTGGGACTATTTCATTTCTCTTCTCTCTCTTTTTTTTTTTTCATCTCTCTTCTCCTGATCCCTCACCCCCTCTCCCATCTAGACGGAGCTGAGTAACTGTATCTCCATGCTGGTGGCGGGGAATGACCGGATGCAGACCATCATCACTCAGCTGGAGGACTCCTGTCGAGTGACCAAGGTGAGGGGGAGAAGAGTTCTGTCCAGGGGTCCAAGGCCTCTCAGTGAAGCCTGGTTCTCTGGGGTGAAGGCTCCGCTGTGAGCTGTGGCTAATGGTTGGGGCCTGGAGGCTGGAGTGTTCAAGCAGGGGTGGTGGAGTGGAAACCAACTAATCTATTCATCCACTCACTCACCAAATGCTTCTGGAACACAGCTGTGTGTCGGGCCCTGCCAAAGACGCTGGGGCTGGAGTGGTGAACAAGGCAGACCAATCCCTGACTTTAGGAAGCATGCCAGCAATAATTCTCAGTATTTATTCAGCACAAGTAGTTTTCAGACCACTGTCTTCAGTGTGTTGTAGACTAAAGCTTCTCAAACTTTAAAATGCGTTCAGATCGCTCTGAGATCCTGTGAAAATTCAAATTCTTATTCAGCAGATCTGGAGGGAGGTATGAGGTTCTGCATTTCTTTCTAATGAACTCCCAGGCTTTGCCCAACTTGCTGGTCCACGGACCACACCATGAGTAGCAAGACTACATAGAGGCAGAAGGAAACTTTTCTATCTCTGAAAAAGAATCCATGATTTTTCATTTCCACTTGAGGTGGGGCCCGGAGATGAGGTGGGGGGGGGGGAAGGTCATCAGACTCCTGATGAACGAAGAGCTGTGTGAGGGATGGCTTTGAAGGAAGGAGGGGACTACTCATGAGATGCTCCCAGGCTGATAGAGGATACTAGAGCCTCCAATCTGGTGAGATATATTATTATACCTATTTTGTAGGTATAGCATCTGTGTTGGAGAGAAGGGAGCCTCAGTGAGGAGGCCACTAGAGGAGTCGCTGCTTCTCCTTTCTTACTAGAACCAACTAAAGCCTCCTGAATCGTCTTGATCCTAAAATAGGGGCCAGGGGTGTGTGTGTGGGGGGGTGACTTGGGAGGCCACAGAAGGCCCAGATTGTATCATCCCATCTGATCCTGGAGTCTCTATTTTTGAGGAAAGGGCTAGCTTTCTCCATGGCACTAGCCTCCAAACATTACTGGTGAGCTAAGTAGCTACGAGACCTCAGCAAATCCTTTCTTTTTGCCAAGACTTCATATTGTCTTCTGTAAAATGGGGGTGTAGCAAGATCTCTTCCAGCTTCAGACTTGTTATTCCTAGCACATCCATCCCAGGAAAAATGTGCCAGGGAGAGGAAGACTCCCTAGGGTGTGACTCTGAGATTTCTGTCCCTAGGAGAACAGTCACCACGTGAAGGAAGAGCTGAGTCAGAAGTTTGATGTACTGTATGCTATCCTGGACGAGAAGAAGAGTGAGCTGCTGCAGCGGATCACGCGGGAGCAGGAGGATAAGCTCAGCTTCATTGAGGGCCTCATCCAGCAGTACCGGGAGCAGCTGGACAAGTCCACTAAGCTGGTGGAGACGGCCATCCAGTCCCTGGACGAGCCTGGTGGGGCCATCTTCCTTTTGGTGAGCAACTAGCAGGGTGTGGACAGTCACTTGGCCTTACCAGCTCTGACTAAGATGCATGTCAGGCACCCATGTGCCCCCCAAGCCAAACCATTTAAAGCTCTCAGTGCCAATGTCCTCAGTGTCCTCAAATGGCCATGCAACGATTCCTACCTTCTTTCCTCTTCACTGATTTTGTGAGGATCAAATAAGAGAGTGTTTGCAGAATGGCACTGTAAGCTGCAAAATACAGTGCCTCCATAGAGACTATTCATTGAGCATATACTATAGGTCAACCACAGAGGTAGAGACACAGAGATGAATGAGACAGCCCTGCCCTAGAAAAGCTTGTTGGGGGTGACAGAAATGGATCAACTATAAGATTTCACAGTTCAATAAAAATTTCCTAAGCACATACTATGGACCAGGTTTTGTGCTAGACATTGGATATTAAAAGGGGATGAGGATATGATTCTCATCTTGAAGATTTCGGGGTTTAAGTGTGTTTAGAATGATACCCCTAAAATCCAACCTTCCTGCTATGAGAGTGGAAGGGTCCTAGAATGATAACCAAAACCTGTGCAGACCATGAACAGAAGGAAAAGACCCAAGTGCTGTTCAACTTAGAGCAGGGAGCAGGTCATAGCTAGGCTAGGGAATGGCAACAGGTGCCCATTTTGTGGCACCGTCACTGGTTTTGCTGATTTCTCGGGGCCATTTCTTCTGCAGTCCTAACCCTTTGTTCTCTCTCTCTCTTTCCACCACAGAGCGCCAAGCAACTCATCAAAAGGTCAGTGACTCTCCAGGGCTATGATCCAAGGCTCTAGCTCCCATCAGGGCCTCTGACCTTGGTCCAGCGGGCCTCCCCCTTGGCATTAGGTCTTCTGGGAGGGTCTCAGCCAAGGCCAGCTCTCCTGGCCTTGCATCCCCTACCTTCTTGGCCCATCCATTCTGTTTGCACCTGGAGAGGAAATAACCTTGCCTCCAGGGCAGCCTCTAGGTGCAAGGCCTGGGTGTGAGACAAGTATGTGCACTCATGAGAATTGGAGTTAAGACACTCCCTTCTTTTACTGAGGCCCAGAAATCTCATCCTACTCCCCCTTTCTTTCTTCCTCCCCCACAGCATTGTGGAAGCTTCCAAGGGTTGCCAGCTGGGGAAGACAGAACAGGGCTTTGAAAACATGGACTACTTTACTTTGGACTTGGAGCACATAGCAGACACCCTGAGGGCCATCGACTTTGGGACAGGTAAAGGAGATGATGGTACATCTGTTTCCCTGCTCAACCCATGGAAACCTGCTTCCCTTCCACTGAGCCCCATGCAGAGGCAGATACACTAGCAAATGGTCAAACTCATACATCTAACTTCTGGATGCACCCAGAGCCAAGCACAGTACCTGATACGTAATTATTGCTCAATAAATTGTGTATGGATCCCCTACAAGGAAGCCTGGGGCAATAGAAAGAGCATGGCAACTGGGGTTAGGTAGATCAAGTTCCAATATTGGTTCTACCTCTTGTTATCTGTGTGACCCTTGGTGAGCTTCTCTACCTACCTGCACTGCATTTTTCCTTTGTTTGTTTTTTTTTTTTTCAATTTTTTTAAAGTAATCTCTAAGCCCAACATGGGACTCGAATTTACAACCCTGAGACCGAGAGTTGTGTTCTCCTCTGCCTGAGCCAGCCGAGTGCCCTGTGAGCAGCATTTTCTAACTTTAAAAATTAAGTTAAACATGGGCCTACTAATAATGACCACATCATGGTGCTCTTGCAACAAGTAAGACACTGATACAGAGAAGTTTGTCAGATCCTCAACAAATACTAGTTCTTGCCTAAGGCTGGTCTTCACCTACCATCACTGATCCTCGGGCACCTTAATTTACCTGCATTACACCCTCATTTCGGTTTGTAATTACTCAATCATAGAGTACTGATAATACTTGTAAGTAACAGTATAACCATAATAATAATAATAAGGGGAAATGAGGAAACCAGAAGAAGAGCAAAGATTTAATAATTTGCTCAAGGTTACACAGTTGCAAGGGAGATACTTAGCAACAGAGAAAGAGAAAGCAGAGCCAAGTTTGCTAAATGTTGTATTGATTTGAGAGCTGATGCTCCGATGACCAGCTGAGAAAGACAGAGCTGGCACCTCTTGTGTTGGCTCTCCCACAGGCTTTTAGAATCTGGTGTTGGATCTATGCTCAGAACCCCACAACAGCCCATTGGTTAAATTCTGTCATTTAACCTTATGAGGCAGTTTCTATCACCATCTCCATTTGGTAGTTAAGGAAATGAAGCCAAGAGAGGGTCAGTGATTTGCTGGAGGCTACACAGCTAGTAAGTAGCCCATGTGGACTCACCAAAGGCCATCTGGCTCCCAAGCCCCTGCCGAGTATTCTATGAGACAATACACATAAGACATTCAGCGTACCCATCCACCCTTCCACCCACCTCACCCCACCCCCACACAAGACACTTGGCACAATATTTGGAACATAGTAAGTGCTCAGCAGATGCTGCTAAGAGTAGTTAATTGTGATAATAACTAAACAACAACGAAAACCCCTGGATTATGCACAGATCCCAGCGATGTAATCAGAAATTGGGCTGACATTTTGGAGGCATGCACTCTTTCAGACCTTTCCCGACATACTCTTGAAAATGCTCTGGCTCTCTGGTGACCCCCTCAGGGCCCCAAAGCATTAAGGAAGTGGCTTGGGAAAGAGGGGTGGAGAATAGACATTTTCTCTGTTAGTGGAGCTTGCAGGTCATGTCCCAGGATGGGGAGGTGAGGACACAGGTCACTCACTGTCTATCTGGGGCTCAGCTTCAGAGTACTATCAAGCAGATGGCCTCAGAAGTGTCCCTCACCCCACAGCCACCCCTTCGTAGGCTGTGGAATGAGGAAGACTGGACAAGGAGTGCTAGGTAAGCAGATTTCAAAGGCTGAGTAAATTCCTTCATGATGAGGACTCTGACCCCTGAGAACCAAGGAATCCATTCTCTCCAGGTCATGTGTATCTAAGTGGGAGATGTATAGAAGCACCAGGTGTGCTTCCCCAAAGTCCCCTCTGGTCCCTGGCAGGTCAAGTGATAGGAGCTGCTATTGGTACTAGAACAAAGGGGTGTCTTAGACTCCCCTCCCCAAGAAAAGTGTGGGAAGGAAGGAGGAGGCCCCTGGGAGAATGAGTGTGCAGCTTAGGTTTGAGAAGCTCATTACCTCCATTACCTCCGGGGGCCACCAATGTCACTGCATGGCCATGTGGTCCCAACTGGGTGTGGGAAGGGGTTTGGATAAGTGCTGTCTCCAGCCTGGTGCCCCTTTAAGCAGCTCCTCTGAAGAACTGGCCCCATCCTAATACCATAGTGCTTTGTCACACACAGATGAGGAAGAGGAAGAGTTCATTGAAGAAGAAGATCAGGAAGAGGAAGAGTCCACAGAGAGAAAGGAAGAAGGTAAGAAATTTATCTACCTCCATTCATTCATCCATTCATCCATTCATTCATTCAGTCAGTCAGTCATTCAACAATACGAAGTCCTGGGTACAAAGCGCTGTGCTGGACTCTTGGAATGATGCCAATATGTGGTGAGGTCCCAATATGTGTATTATACCGTTTGAGGATATAGCCCTGTTCCCTTTATCCTTAGAGAAAAAAAAAAACCCAAACTATTCATAATAAAAAGCTCCCATTTTATATCTAAATGACCTTCCTGAGTGGAGAGCAATACAGTATAAGAGACATAAAAGATAAGGTACCATGAGCCAGGCTTGGCCCACTGAGAACTTCTAGCCAGCACAACGTTTACATTTTTAAAAATTAATTGCCAACATTTAAAAAATTAGGACTTGGCGGGGTAGGGGTAGGGGCAGGTGTTTTGTTTTTTTAAGAGAGAAAGAAGGAGAGAGAGAGAGAGGAGACAGAGAAAGAGAGAATCCCAAGTAGGCTCCACACTCAGGCTCACAACCCCCAGATCATGACCTGAGTCAAAGTCAGAGTTGGAGGCTTCACTAACTGAGCCACCCAGGTGCCCCTGTTTTCTGTGTTTATTTTTTTAAAAGGAGATTTCAACTGAGAATCTGGATTTCTACCTTCTTGTGAAAATTTGGAAAGAACTAACAATGCTGTGGTTTCCCTCCTCCCTAATCCCAGAGAGCTGGTGCTGGGCAGGGGCTTCCCCCTTTGCTCAGGGCACCCGGTCAGCCTGCCTGCTTTACTCAGTCCTGTCCTCTGCAGGCCCCTGTAGGCATCTGATCACCCACCTGCCCTTGGGCAAGTCATTTAGAAAGCTCTCTGGGTCGCAGAGTGTGGTTAAGTGCCTAGGTTCAGAATCACAGCTTTACCACAGACGAATGGTAACAGATGAACATTTCATCTCATTTACTGGCACATAGAAAGAACAGGTTTGCTAATATCATTTTTCAAGCCAAGTTACTATTGGAACTGAATTTCAATCCAATTAAAAAATACAGACTACTCTTTTGGAGTTTTGTGTTAGATGTGCAATGCATGGTTTTGATGACTAAATTCTTTTTTTTTTTTTTAGATTTTATTTATTTTTATTTGTTTATGAGAGAAAGAGAGAGAGAGGCAGAGACACAGGCAGAGAGAGAAGCAGGCTCCATGCAGGAAGCCCAATATGGGACTCGATGCCTGGACCCAGGGATCATGCCCTGAGCCAAAGACAGACACTCAACTGCTGAGCCACCCAGACATCCCTTGATGACTAAATTCTTGTTTTGGTTTAAAAAGGAAGAGCCTAGGGATCCCTGGGTGGCGCAGCGGTTTGGCGCCTGCCTTTGGCCCAGGGCGCGATCCTGGAGACCCGGGATCGAATCCCACATCAGGCTCCCGGTGCATGGAGCCTGCTTCTCCCTCTGCCTGTGTCTCTGCTCTCTCTCTCTCTCTCTCTCTCTCTCTCTCTCTCTCTCTGTGACTATCATAAAGAAATAAAAAATAAAAAAATAGTTTGAAAAAAAAAAAAAAAAGGAAGAGCCTAGGCAGGAATTGGAGTCTGATAATTTTGTCACTGTGGCTTGGTAAGTCCTGGATCCTCCTGTGTCCTGTCTCACCTTGTGTTTCTTTGTCTTTTTCTTTCAGGGCACCAGTAAGGAACTGGATGAGGGAGAGACCTTCTAGATGCAGAGAGACTGGGGTGGGTGGGGATGGGCCCAGCTGCCTTGGTGACAGGCCCAGGGTGGGAGGGGTCGGGGCCCCTGGAGGGGCAATGGGAAGGTGTGTCTTCTCTCTGCCCAGAGAGCAGGGACTAGCAGTAGGACCCCCACTGCTGTGTCCAGCGGCCACTGAACCTGAATTGGAAACGTGCTTGAAACAACCACACAGGACACTTTTCTACGTTGGTGCAAAATGGAATATTTTGTACATTTTTTAAATGTGATTTTTGTATATACTTGTATATGTATGCCAATTGGTGCTTTTTGTAAAGGAACTTTTGTATGATAAAGCTTGGTCATGGTGTGACCAGCTATTGTTAGAAAGAGGGGAGAGAAGCCAGGCTGACAAAGCTGCCCTCTTCCTTTCCTGGGAGGGAGGGCTGGGTAGCACACAGGCCTACGAAGGGATACTGTACTGTACAGGTGTCAATGCCTGTCCCTGACATAGGGGATGGCAACTGAGTTTGTGTTACATGTTGTTTCAATAAATGCACAGCGCTCCCTTTCTGTTATTACCAAAAGAGCTGGGGGGTTCTGCCTTTCTTTTTTTTTTTTCTTTCTTTCTTTTTTTTTTTTTAGTTTTTAAGTTTTTTATTTAATTTTATTTTTAAAATTTCACTTAAATTCAATTTGCCGACATATAGTATAACACCCAGTGCTCATCTCATCATGTGCCCTTTTTTTTTTTTTAATTTTTTATTTATTTATGATAGTCACACACAGAGAGAGAGGCAGAGACACAGTCAGAGGGAGAAGCAGGCTCCATGCACCAGGAGCCCGACATGGGATTCGATCCCGGGTCTCCAGGATCACGCCCTGGGCCAAAGGCAGGCGCCAAACCGCTGTGCCACCCAGGGATCCCTTTTTTTTTTTTTTTTCATGTGCCCTTCTTAATGCCTGTCACCCAGTTACCCACCCCATCCTCTCCCCACCTCTCCTTCTGCAACCTTTTGTTTGTTTCCCAGAGTTAGGAGTCTCTCGTGGTTTGTCCTCCTCTCTAATAGTGAAAGGGACCATAAGGGAAGGGGGGACACCAAGTGGGGAAAAATTAGAGAGGAAAAGCTGAGGTTTCATTCAACCTGTTGTTCTGGAGAGAAGAGCTCAGAGGAGATGGACAGAAGGCCTGGATGGCAAGTGTTGAGCAGGAGACAGACAGTAGAGGCACCTGGGTGGCTCAGTCAGTTGAGTGTCTGCCTTTAGCCCAGGTTGTGATCCTGGGGTCCTGGGATCAAGTCCTGCATTGGGCTCCCTGCTGGGGGGTGGGGGTTGGAGTCTCCTTCTCTCTCTCCCTCTGCCCCTCCCTCTGCTCATGCTTGCTCTGTCTCTCAAATAAATAAAATCTTAGGGGAAAAAAGGGAGGGTGGAGCAGAAAGTAATGGCTAGGCTCATTTTCCATCCCATCAAAGAATAAATTCTTTAAACTAGCATTTCCCAATGAGAGCTCCATGGAAAACAGGCCCTGAGAGGGTCCTCAAGAAACAGGTTCAATGCCTCGTTCTCTAATTCTCCAGAACACAGAGACTGAAGCAAAGTTTCCATGCTGTAACCTAGGTGCGATCCTAGGGCAGCCAGAGTGAAGGGAAGTGGCAGCAAGGCAGGAAAAGAGGGAAACAAATATGATGTGTGGCATTACTGAGCTGGCCACAGCTTTACCATGAGAACTCCTGCTGCTTGCTCAGTCATGGGAGATGTTTCTAGAAGGCCCATAAAGAACACAACATGACTCAAAGCAGTTCATCAGAGGGAAGAATTTCATCTGTCTCAGGATCGAAGTCAGCTCCCCAGAGTGTGTTTAATTCCCTTGCACTTCCAGGTTGCACCACTTGACCCCTTCGGGCAGCTGCAGGGGGTGGGGGGAGGCTAGATGGCTACACCTGACTCTACAGGCAGTGGAATGAGCAGAGCCCCCGTGGCCCACTTAGGTGGACTGGACATATGGCTGCTGGAGCTGCTGCTACTTCCACCATGGGAGCGGTGGGCAACAGTGGCTCTGCGGTAGCCCAGACTTAATCCAGGGAAGGCCAAGCCAGCCACCAGTGCTAGGGGATGGTTGAGCAGTGACCAACGTGAAGTAGCATCCAGGGTCTCCACAAACAAGGAGCCAAGGGGCTAGGAGAGAGGTGAGGCTGAGCACATCCAAGGAGACATATTATTGGGCCTAAGACACTGCAAACTTATAAATTTGAGTCTCGTTTAAATAACAGGTGTAGATCTCCAACAGCTCTACTTAAGGGGAAGGCTCCTCATCTGGGGCCAGAGCAGTCTTGATTCTGGAAAGATGGATCCATGGGGAGAAGCCGTGAAGTTTTTGCGCTGTTGGAGTGGTCAAGAGAACATGATAGGGCCCGGTCCAGACAGGTTCGAGTAGCTTTTTGTCTGCAAATGGTCTGAAGGTATACCCAATTCCTGGAAGTAAGTTTTGGATGTATGTTACCTGAGAAAAAGGGGTCAGGTTTTGGATTGTACTGGCTTTCATGGTCAATGGCTGACACAGTTTGCCCTAGGGACATAACATACTGTGTAATTAGAATAACAAGAAAAAGAAGCCCAATGAAGTGTCCTTGATAGTTGACAAAAATCTTCTTCCAGTCCAATAGTCTGACCAATCATTAAAGGAGAGAGAAAGATCTCTTAAAGTACCAATTTGAGTATTTATGTCAGTTAGTAACCCTGTCACATTTTTGTGATAATTTGGAGTATATACATAACACTCTGCTTTTTACTAAAGTATAGGTTCCTCCTTGAGCTGCATTTGGTTTTGGGGGGTGACTCCAAATCTGTGGAGTGATACAAGTTGGATGTGGCTAAAGGTGGCTGTTGACTGCTTGGTTAAAGCGTCCATTTGCAATTTTACATGGATAGATATAGTCCCAATTTTTTCTGGGATAAATATGGCTAAGGAATAAAACCATCAAGAATATGGCTAAGGGATAAAACCTCTTTGTGTTTTGTTTTGTTTTTATTTTTTTTTTAAGATTTTATCTATTTATTCATGAGAGACACACAGAGAGAGGCAGAGACGTATGCGGGGGGAGGAGAAGCTGGGTCCATGCAGGGAGCCCATTGTGGGACTCAGTTCCAGGACTTCAGGATCATGCCCTGAGCCAAAGGCAGAGGCTCAACCCTTGAGCCACCCAGGCGTCCCTTGTTTTGTTTTTAAAGACTTTATTTATTTATCTTAGAGAGAGAGAGAGAGAGAGACAGAGATAGCAAGAGAGAGCCACGAGCAGGAGGGGAGAGGGAGAAGCAGACACCTTTTGCTGAGCAAGGAGCCTGACGTGGGGCTGCATCTCTGGATTTCAGGATCATGACCTGAGTGGAAAGCAGAAGCTTAACCGACTGAGCCACCCAGGTGCCCCAAGAAGCCCTCTTTGTTTGAAGTCTAGCCTTAACATCCTGATCGTAAAGAACCGCTGGCAAGTGGGAGAAGACTTATCCGGGAATTCGGGCATCCCCAAGTGCATCATCCAATCCAATCATAAGGAAAATGAGACCATCTATTTTCTCCACAAGTCCGTAGTTAACCCAATGGAGTGGGGGTAGGCTCAGGCTTTTAAGGGATCCATTTTCTCATCCCAGCTACACAAATTTGGTCAAGGGGCTAGTTGAGTTGTACAATTGTTGGGGAATCCATTCCATTTTCCAGCTGTTCAAATAATCATATGTCCATGGGGTCCTGTTGTTGTCCCTACAGGATAACAAGAACAAAGATCGTTTATACATGAGCTACTATGGCAATTTCTCTAATGTTTGCCTCAAGTTGATCAGCTTAGGCAAACAACAAACACTGAAAGACGTACAGAATCGAATTTAACGTCCACAGAGGTGTGTTATTGAATCATTATTTTTCTCTCTGTGATCACCCTAATTTCTGGAGATAGGCAAATCAAGTATAACGCATTCGAAAAACAAGTTCAATATTAACAAACTTGACTTAATCATTTAATAAGCTCAGCAAGAATAGTGATTGATCAGAGATCTTTCAAAATTTGCTTTGCTGGAACTCTTTATGAGGAATCTCAACTGAATTTTTGGTAGTGTCTCTAGGCCAGAAGCCAAGACCAAATACTTGCCATGAGACATGCTTGTAATACCTGTAGATTGGGCAAATTTCACTTCTCAAGGTCCCCCAAATATCTTGAGGTTCCTGTACCTGCCAAGAAGTGACATTCTTTACTTACCTGGTAAAGATGCTGGGAACTCAAAGCAGGTATCAGGCCAACATTTTCAAGGGGATTTATTGGTTTCATGTTCATAAAGTCAACTTTAGTTTCTTAAAGCTGTCTGGTTGCATCTGAGTCTATGCAGATCTCTTTCAAATATAACATTCTAGTCAACACCTTCGTAAAATAACCAATGTCCCATTGGTGTCCTGTTACAAGGAGAACAAATTTTCAAATTTTTATTGAATTTATGCAAATAACTATGATTGCCACAAATGAAAGAATACTCACTGAGACTTTTTGTATTTCAGAAGGTTTGGATAGAGAAAATTTAAATGTTTCATGGTACTTGAGTGGCTCAGTCATTTGAGCTTCTGACTTTTTTTTTTTTAAGATTTTATTTATTTATTCATGAGCGACACAGAGAGAAGCAAAGACATAGGCAGAGGGAGAAGCAGGCTCCCCACAGTGAGCCCAATGCAGGACTCAATCCCAGGACCCCAGGATCACACCCTGAGCCAAACACTCAACCACTGAGCCACCCAGGCATCTGGAGCTTCTGACTCTTGATTTCAGCTGAGATCATGATGTTGGGCATGTGAGATCGATCCCCGCATCAGGTCTACTTAAGATTCTCTCCCTTTTCCCCTCCTGCCCCTTGCACATGCATGTGCTTTCTCTCTCTAAAAAACAAAAGAAAAAAATTTAATATCTTAGGAGAATAAAATAAAATAAAATAAAATAAAATAAAATAAAGCCTATTAGGAGAAAGTTTCCTTAATCTGAAAGAGCAAACATTGGAGAGCCAGCAATGTTTTAAACAAGAGTCACAGAAACTATAATCATTTTCCTCAGTTCATTTAGTTCTATGGTACTAATTTTTGTTCAGTTCGAATGCAGCTTTTTAGTTAGTTCTGGAAATTCTTACCCATTTCAGTTTTATGATCTTAAATATACCAAATACTTGTATTTGTCAAAAGCTCTTTTTATGAATCTCCTTGAAGATGAAACACATTTCACAAAAAGCATCAGAACAATAACTATGGACATTTTTAATGATCTGATATGAGAGTTCATTATGAGGCAATTGACAAGGAAATCAGTTATTTCTGTGACACATCAAATCTCAGGGAAGTTTGTTAAAAACTTTAGGAAGTTTCAAAGCACATGCCTAAATAGGATTTCAGATCATCAAAGACCTGCTAAAGACAAACATAGAAACTGGTTTTTCTGGGCAGACAAAGAAAAGAAAAAACAACTTTGTTTACATTTTCTTATCAAGAGCAGACCAACAATCCAAGAAAACTTAATCTTTTTAACAGAGAGAAAGCAGAATTTCAGTCTTATAC